TGCTTTTTGTAAGTACTTCTGTATGCAAGGGAGTATGCAACAGGTTAGAAATAGGAAAATGATGGTCATTATAAGAACAGCTGTCCCCACCTGGAAGAGGGTCCTCTGCCAACCATTCATCCATCCAAACCATCTGTCCCAAGTGTCAGTGACTCCTGAATTTTTCTTTAGCTCGTCTGCAAGACTATCTAGCTTCTCTATGGCCATAGTCACCTTACCATTGGGCCCAGTGTTGTCTGGAATGTATGTACAGCATGTCATGGTTTCAGGGAGGATTTTACACACACCTCCTTTCTCGGCTAAAATCATATCTAGGGCCATTCGGTTCTGAAATGTCATTTGGGTAGTGGCTTGTAGTTGCTCTGCCAGGCCCTGTAGGGCATCCCTGGTGTAATTGACAAAGCGCTGTTGGTTATAGTAGATGTAGTTAATCCAATTGACATTTTTGTTAGCAGTTATCATTGGAATTAGGGATTCAAACCCTGCAGCCACTTCATCTCTTGCTTTGAATTCATTAGGTACCCCCCTTGGCACGCCTATGGCATCAATATATACATGGGGGTCAAAGCTCCCTCGAATAGGGGTCTCTCGTTTGGTTCTAGGGTGTATATGTGTGGGGTTTAGCGTGTTGTGACTACCATCTGGAATAATGTGGATAGGCATTATGACTTTGGTTAGGGCACACTCCCCCCACCATTGCCCAGTTAATTGGGACCTCAATTGTTTATCACCACACAACCAATAGATATCACCAATTGTCTTTGTGTGATTAATTAACAGTGACACGGGTGGATCATGATAAGTCGAGCAGTATCCTGACGGGAATTTGCCCAGATATAAACCAGTGTTCTTTGGTATTGTATAACACGTGTAGTTACCTGGGTAGATGGTGACTCCATCAGGTGGTTTTACATGTCCGTGAGTGATCGGGTAGATTTTCTTCCATGATTCACATGTTGAGGAGTTAGAGATGGACTGTGCATAAAGACTCAGTACACATAGTTCTACCTCGGGAGGTAAGTTCAGAGGAACTGTGCCCAAATGGGGCCTAGCCCCCCCACATACATAGCAATTAGTTTTGTTGTGTGAGTTAGCATTATATCTCATCCATTCCAGCCACAAATTAGTATCTGAGAACCCAGTCTCTACTGCCATAGTGTCTTCAAAGGTGGGGTTAGCTATAGCTACCATGTCATGCAGGGTCCTAATATGTGGTTTTAGCGGATTAATTATCATGTGGGTGGTCCCTACCCAGTCTGAGGAGGTGAGCATGTCTTGTAGGTAGAATGTCCCCAATGCATTATATGAGCCACCCCCCTTCCAGTACATCCCCATCACATATTCCCCTGCGTCCCTTGGGCTAGGGTGTTCTATGTTCAGGGTAAGTTTAATGGGAGTTGACCCTGTGGGTTTACTCAGAGTCATTCTGGAAAGTAGGGGCTTCCCGTCCTTGTCAAGTCTGTCCAGTGCAACCTGAGGTCTGTAGCCCCACGGCCTACCTGTATTCCACCCGGCAGCTTTCCATGAACTACAATGGTGTCCCCAAGTTCCTCCGGTCACACAAATGTATGGATCCTTTTTGTTAGGTATGTCTTTGTATATGGCTGCATATTGTGTTTGTGGAAATGTACAAGTAACTATGTCACAATAATCAAAGGTGTATGTAGCTACATCAGTGTTAGAAGAGTTGTATCAGAAAGTGTAAACATGATTATCTTTGGTTATGGCCACTTGTTGGGCCCAAGCAAAATGCAACAACATAAGAAAACACAAGACACATAATAAATTCATGTTTCAGCATGAACAGCCTCTTCTGGAGCAGGCACTTTTTTGCAATGTGAAGCGTGTATCCAGGAACTCTTCCCGGCTAGTTTAACTGACGTTGCTGTAATCAGGAGCACTTGATAAGGACCATCAAATCTCGGTTCTAGGGTGTGTTTCCTGAGAAACTTCTTGACCATAACCCAGTCACCAGGGAGCAGCTTGTGTGTACCTGTATTCGACTCAGGATCTGGAATAGAAGAAAACACTTGGGCATGTATTTTGGTCAGGGCATGAGGGAGAGCGGTCACATAGTCTACCATAGCATCTGACTGAATCTGAAGCTGCTGGGGAAAGTAACAACCCAACCTAGGTGCTGTACCGAACAAAATCTCATAGGGTGATAGGCTGTATTTTCCCCTAGGTGTGTATCTTACACTAAACAATGCCAGTGGGAGACTCTCGGGCCAGGGCATGTTAGTCTCTTGTGACATCTTAAGCATTCTGGCTTTCAAAGTGCCATTCATGCGCTCTACCTTACCACTACTCTGTGGGTGATATGGTGTGTGGAATGCAAGGGTCACCCCCAGTGCTGACCAGACTTCCCGTGTTAGCGAGGCAGTAAAGGAGGTCCCCTGGTCACTTTCAATCACTTCTGGGACCCCATAGCGGCAAACTATTTCTGTCAGAAGATACTTGGCTGTAGTCCTCGCGGTGAGGTTAGTCACTGGGAAAGTCTCTGGCCATCCTGAAAACATGTCCACTATGACCAATGCATATTCATAACGTCCACTTTTTGGCATCTGGATGTGATCAATCTGGATCCTCTGGAAGGGATATTGCGACTTGGCTAGGTGATTAGGTGCAGTCTTTATAATCTTTCCAGGATTGCATTTAGCACATATAGTACAGGACTTACAGTAATTCTGTGTTAAGGTAGTGATGCCTGGTGCTTCAAAATACTTGTCAATCAATGAATTCATCAGATGTTTTGACAGGTGGGCTGGCCCATGGGCCCATTGGACCACCGCTGGATACATATTTCTGGGTAGGCAAAACTTGAGATTGACAGTGTAAACATCATCACGGAGCACAGCTCCTTTGCTCTTCCAACTTTGTTTCTCCTGTGGAGTAGCAGCAGCTTGTTGTTCCTTCAGAAGCCTAAGATCTGTAGGCAATGTTTGCATAGTGTAGATAGTAGGGATCGACCGATATTGATTTTTTAGAGCCGATACCGATACCGATATTCCGTGAACTTTCAGGCCGATAGCCGATATAATTTGCCGATATTCTGTACATTTACCATTTTGGAAAATAAAAACTATTTCTAAAGGTAAATGCACAAAATATACATGCCACGTGTAGTGGATACAGTGTGTTTAGACAGGGGAGCTGTATGTGTTTGTGTAGTGGATGCAGTGTATGTTTGTGTAGTGTGTGTAGTGGATGCAGTGTGTGTTTGTGTAGTAGTGGATGCAGTGTGTGTTTGTCTAGTGTGTAGTGGATGCAGTGTGTATTTGTCTAGTGTGTAGTGGATGCAGTGTGTATTAGTGTAGTGTGTGTATATAATGAAAGCAGAGTGATTGTGTAGTGTGTAAAGTGAATGCAGTATATACTAAATGCAAAGTGTGTGTTTATGTAGTGTGTTTATATAATGCAGAGTGTGTGTGTTTGTATAGTGTGTGTGTATATATAATGCAGTGTTTGTGTAGTGTGCATTATATAAACACACTATGCAAACACACATTGCATTAATTATATACACACACTAAACACACTGCATTATATACGCACACTACACACTGCATTATACACACACTACACAAACACTGCATTGTATACACGCACTGCATTATACACACACTGCATTATATACACACACTACACAAACACTGCATTGTATACACACTGCATTATATACACAGTGTGTGTATATAATGCAGTGTGTTTGTGTAGTGTGCATTATATAAACACACTGCATTATATACACAGTGTGTTTGTGTAGTGTATGTGTATATAATGGAGTGTGTGTGTGAGGGGGGGCATTTTTTTTTATATATATATTTAATATTTATTTTTGTTGTCCCTCCTCCCTGTTTCATACTTGGCCAGGGAGGGGGGATATGACCATCCCTGGTGGTCCAGTGGCATTGGCTGAGCTGGGGGGAGCGGGCATCAAGCGCTTACTCACCTCCCAGCAGCTCCTCCAGCTCCCCAGTGTAACTCTCGCGGCCAGCGTGTCGCGCGGAGCGTTGCCATGGTGACCCATGGCAACGCTCGGACGGCCGCGGGTCTCGCGAGAGTTGCACTGGGGAGCTGGAGGAGCTGCTGGGAGGTGAGTAAGCGCTTGATGCCCGCTCCCCCCCAGGACCGCCGGGCTTGTAATGAGCCTGGCGGTCCTAGGAGGTATTATCGGCAATATCGGTATCTGAATTGGCCGATACCGATATTGCCGAAAATACTGAATATCGGTAATTATATCGGTAAAACCGATAATCGGTCGATCCCTAGTTAATATTTAATATTGTTATGTTATATTGTATATGATATACCACCATTATTCTGTGAAAAGATGGGGGAAGTACGGCTCTCCTGCTTTTTTCTCTATTCTGCTCTGCTCTCCTTCCCTTTACTTTCTTTTCATCTGCTCTCCTTCCCCTTTTCTTTATTTTCATCCGCCCTCCTTCCCCTTTGTTTTTATCTGCTCTCCTCCCCCTTTATTTTTATCTGCCATCCCTCTCCTTTTCTTTATTTTTTTTATCTGCCCTCCTTCCTCTTTATTTTTTTTATCTGCCCTCCTTCCCCTTTATTTTTTTTATCTGCCCTCCTTCCTTTTTATTTTTTTTTTATCTGCTCTCCTTCCCCCTTTCTTTATTTTAATTTGTTCTCCTTCCCCCTTTCTTTATTTTAATTTGTTCTCCTTCCCCCTTTCTTTATTTTATCTGTTCTCCTTCCCCTTTGTTTTCATCTGCTCTCCTCCCCCTTTATTTTTATCTGCCATCCCTCTCCTTTTTTATTTTTTTATCTGCCCACCTTCCCCTTTATTTTTTTTATCTGCCCTCCTGCCTCTTTATTTTATTTTCATGTGCTGTCCTTACCTTTTTCTCTCTTCTCTTCTGCTCTCCTTCCGTTTTCTCTCTTCTCCTGTGCTCTGTTTTCTTCACCAGCAGCTATTCTTTCTTTTTCTTCTCGGTACCGCAGGCGGGGGAATGCAGGGGGAGGGGTTACGTCATTGCGTCATGACGTCATCGCTAATCGGCATTGCGGATTGGCCGATTAGCAGGAGGAGGGAAGGAGACTCACTCCACCACGGAACCTATGTGAGAGGGTTCCATCTTGTTAAGGCCGGCGCCACAGCAATGCGGATGCGGCCGCCTGCCCGGCATGAAAGGTTTTTAATAATTAATTTTTTTACCAGAGCGGCTTTCTAATTACACGGTTTAGGCGGCCGCGAGGCCTTAGGCGGCCGCCTAAACCGCCTAATTAGAGAGCCGCCTCTGCTTATTTCAGAAGCACAGAGTGTAAGCTTGTTTGTGTTTACCACTTCCTCATAGAGTGTAAGCTTGTTTGTGTTTACCACTTCCTCATAGAGTGTAAGCTTGTTTTAGTGTTTACCACTTCCTCATAGAGTGTAAGCTTGTTTTAGTGTTTACCACATCCTCACAGAGTGTAAGCTTGTTTTAATGTTTACCACTTCCTCACAGAGTGTAAGCTTGTTTTAATGTTTACCACTTCCTCACAGAGTGTAAGCTTGTTTTAGTGTTTACCACGTCCTCATAGTGTAAGCTTGTTTGTGTTTACCACATCCTCATAGAGTGTAAGCTTGTTTTAGTGTTTACCACATCCTCATAGAGTGTAAGCTTGTTTTAGTGTTTACCACTTCCTCATAGAGTGTAAGCTTGTTTGTGTTTACCACTTCCTCATAGAGTGTAAGCTTGTTTTAGTGTTTACCACTTCCTCATAGAGTGTAAGCTTGTTTTAGTGTTTACCACTTCCTCATAGAGTGTAAGCTTGTTTTAGTGTTTACCACTTCCTCATAGTGTAAGCTTGTTTTAGTGTTTACCACTTCCTCATAGAGTGTAAGCTTGTTTTAGTGTTTACCACTTCCTCATAGAGTGTAAGCTTGTTTTAGTGTTTACCACTTCCTCATAGAGTGTAAGCTTGTTTGTGTTTACCACTTCCTCATAGAGTGTAAGCTTGTTTGTGTTTACCACTTCCTCATAGAGTGTAAGCTTGTTTGTGTTTACCACTTCCTCATAGAGTGTAAGCTTGTTTTAGTGTTTACCACTTCCTCATAGAGTGTAAGCTTGTTTTAGTGTTTACCACTTTCTCATAGAGTGTAAGCTTGTTTTAGTGTTTACCACTTCCTCATAGAGTGTAAGCTTGTTTGAGTGTTTACCACTTCCTCATAGAGTGTAAGCTTGTTTTAGTGTTTACCACTTCCTCACAGAGTGTAAGCTTGTTTTAGTGTTTACCACGTCCTCATAGAGTGTAAGCTTGTTTTAGTGTTTACCACTTCCTCATAGAGTGTAAGCTTGTTTTAGTGTTTACCAATTCCTCATAGTGTAAGCTTGTTTTAGTGTTTACCACTTCCTCATAGAGTGTAAGCTTGTTTTAGTGTTTACCACTTCCTCACAGAGTGTAAGCTTGTTTGTGTTTACCACTTCCTCATAGAGTGTAAGCTTGTTTGTGTTTACCACATCCTCACAGAGTGTAAGCTTGTTTTAGTGTTTACCACTTCCTCATAGAGTGTAAGCTTGTTTTAGTGTTTACCACTTCCTCATAGAGTGTAAGCTTGTTTTAGTGTTTACCACTTCCTCATAGAGTGTAAGCTTGTTTTAGTGTTTACCAATTCCTCATAGTGTAAGCTTGTTTTAGTGTTTACCACTTCCTCATAGAGTGTAAGCTTGTTTTAGTGTTTACCACGTCCTCATAGTGTAAGCTTGTTTTAGTGTTTACCACGTCCTCATAGAGTGTAAGCTTGTTTGTGTTTACCACTTCCTCATAGAGTGTAAGCTTGTTTGTGTTTACCACATCCTCATAGAGTGTAAGCTTGTTTTAGTGTTTACCACTTCCTCACAGAGTGTAAGCTTGTTTTAGTGTTTACCACTTCCTCATAGAGTGTAAGCTTGTTTTAGTGTTTACCACTTCCTCACAGAGTGTAAGCTTGTTTTAGTGTTTACCAATTCCTCATAGTGTAATCTTGTTTTAGTGTTTACCACTTCCTCACAGAGTGTAAGCTTGTTTTAGTGTTTACCACTTCCTCATAGAGTGTAAGCTTGTTTTAGTGTTTACCACTTCCTCATAGAGTGTAAGCTTGTTTGTGTTTACCACTTCCTCATAGAGTGTAAGCTTGTTTGTGTTTACCACTTCCTCATAGAGTGTAAGCTTGTTTTAGTGTTTACCACTTCCTCATAGAGTGTAAGCTTGTTTTAGTGTTTACCACTTCCTCATAGAGTGTAAGCTTGTTTTAGTGTTTACCACTTCCTCATAGAGTGTAAGCTTGTTTTAGTGTTTACCACTTCCTCATAGAGTGTAAGCTTGTTTTAGTGTTTACCACTTCCTCATAGAGTGTAAGCTTGTTTTAGTGTTTACCACTTCCTCATAGAGTGTAAGCTTGTTTTAGTGTTTACCACTTCCTCATAGAGTGTAAGCTTGTTTTAGTGTTTACCACTTCCTCATAGAGTGTAAGCTTGTTTTAGTGTTTACCACTTCCTCATAGAGTGTAAGCTTGTTTTAGTGTTTACCACTTCCTCATAGAGTGTAAGCTTGTTTTAGTGTTTACCACTTCCTCATAGAGTGTAAGCTTGTTTTAGTGTTTACCACTTCCTCATAGAGTGTAAGCTTGTTTTAGTGTTTACCACTTCCTCACAGAGTGTAAGCTTGTTTTAGTGTTTACCACGTCCTCATAGAGTGTAAGCTTGTTTTAGTGTTTACCACTTCCTCATAGAGTGTAAGCTTGTTTGTGTTTGCCACTTCCTCATAGAGTGGAAGCTTGTTTGTGTTTGCCACTTCCTCATAGAGTGGAAGCTTGTTTGTGTTTGCCACTTCCTCATAGAGTGTAAGCTTGTTTTAGTGTTTACCACTTCCTCATAGAGTGTAAGCTTGTTTTAGTGTTTACCACTTCCTCATAGAGTGTAAGCTTGTTTTAGTGTTTACAACGTCCTCATAGAGTGTAAGCTTGTTTGAGTGGGGTCCTTCTTCACATCTTGTCTAGGTTATATACACTATGTAAATTACTTGTCAAATATCCCAGTTTTTACAAGTAGCCGCAAAATAAGTTGGTGCTTTATAAATGCTAGTAATTTCTTCTTTTGGCCTAAAATGTGAAATCTCCTTTGAATTTTTGACAATACACACTTTAGTGAATAACCATGATGGCATTAACAATACTTTGTACTAGGTTGGAGCTTCAACATACAAACATTACTATATGTGCTTTTTTTCTTTTTCTGTTTAGGAATCACAAAAGACATTGCATCTGCAGATTTCGACATGAAAAACTCAGTTTAATGCAAACAGTAACATTTTTGGGAAGATATGTGTAACCAATAACATTTTTGGGAAGTTATGTCTTTTAGTTGAGTGCCTGGCAGACTTGCTAGGAATCGAACAGCAGTGCATTGATTATGTAATGGCTTTATGTAGAGTTGGAAAAATGAACAAAAATGTCACATTCTGGTTGTCTTTTAGGAGCGTTCATTTTGTTGAGCTATGTAAACTAGCTGATTTATTGTACAGTTTGAAATGGTTGTGTCATAATAGGAATCACAACATTTTTAAATGTTGTTTTTTTTATTTTTTTTATACCAGATGGAGCCTGAACATTCAAGACCGCATTCTGAACTAAATATGGATTTGAAGATCTCCTTTGTAAATTGTCAGTCCAATGATATTCTAGTGAAATTTCAAGGAAAATATATTTCGGACTGTGAACTTGATTATCATATATTGCAAAATGAAATTCAGCTTGCCCCTAAAGTTAAAGCCAACACTGGCATTGGAGAGTTTTGTTTGGTACAAGACAAACCATTTGGAACTTGGAACAGAGGAAAGATTTTGGATATAATAAGTGGAATATATGAAGTTCTGTTGATTGACCAAGGCAATGTAGTCAAAGTTAGCTCCAGTTACATTGCCTCAGCTTCTGGGGAATTGTTTAACCTTCCTCCAAAAGTGGTCAGTGGTATTGTTTCCAACATTCTTCCAACTGGAGAAAAGTGGACTCCTAAAGCAGTAAATTACTTTTCATCTTTGGTTGGACTACAAATCAGAGGCCATGTGCAAACATTTTTGCCACATCAAGTCGTCCTATTGGAGATTCCAAAAGTGATCAACTACGCCATCGAGCTAAACTTGGCAAAGTACGTTGATTCTAATTCGTTCTGTCTTCTCGTTGAAATTATTCACAAATTTCCAACAAACTCAAATTGGAAACAAATGCCTGACTTATTGCAGCAGAGAAAGATACATTCTGATTTTTCTCTCCGTTTAGGTGATAATCCTCCTAGTTTTAAAAAGGTACTGGATCACCTTAAACCTAACCTATCACTGGGCACCACTGAAAAGGTTAGGATCTCCGCTGCTATGAGCGCAGATCGATTTTATTGTCGTCTTTTGTCATGGGAGGAAGATTTGAATAATTTGACTGCTTCTATGACTTCACACTATGAAGCCATTAATGCGGAACAAAATACAGTATCAGACTATTTTGGTGTACTCTGTGCCGCAAAAAGAAGAGATGGGTTATGGCACAGGGGAGTAATACATAAGCTTATTTCTGGTGAAGAAGTGAGAATTTGGTTTATGGATATAGGTAGCTATGAAACGATGTCTTCTTCTAATATGCAGAAACTTCAACTGGAGTTTCTGTCCTTGCCAATGATGGCGATCCCGTGTTCACTTGCGGCAGTTAGTGACCAAACTGAAAGTACCCGAAATATGCAACTGATGCAAATCAAACAAGGCCTGCTAGGAAATATAATTATAGCCCACATCAACCAATTTTGTAGTGAAGAGCATCTGTATTATGTAACTTTGTATGAGAAGGACTTCGAGCTAAATGTAGAATGCCAGCTGTCAAATGAGCATGTTTCCAAGATCTCAGATGCTAACGGGAATTTCCATAATGCAGCAGTCTCCACAAAAGAAGAGCGAAAACAATCACCTGTATCAGCTTTAACTGAAACTGAAAAGGATGACGTTGAAACAATAACTTACAAAACTATACAAATGGATGTAGATTCAGTCCACGTGGTATTTGTGGAGTACATATTAAACCCTTCTAATTTTTGGATAAGGACTGATGACTGTCAGCATGCGTATTCAGCCATGATGGAGGATATTACAAAACTGTATGATTCATGTGGACCTGCTGAAAAACTTCTTGAAGACTTGGTACCTGGCCAGCTTTGTTGTGCCCTTTATACTAAAGACCGACATTATTATAGAGCTGTCATTACTGAAATAATGGACTTGGAGGTCACAGTTTATTTTTTGGATTTTGGGAATACTGAAACTGTTGACCGTTGCAATGTTAAAACGTTGTTACCACAATTCACTATTTTGCCTGCATTAGCTATGTGCTGCACGCTGGCTTATGCATATCCTGTTGAAGATGTGTGGGTGAAAAGTGCCAATGATTATTTTAAACAAATTGTTTCCGATAAGCCCCTTTTTTGCCACGTTCTTGCAAAACAGAAATACAAATATGTGGTTGATATACGGAATTCAGAAAGCTCTGAAAACTCAAATATTGTTGCACTTATGGTTCAGGCTGGATTTGCGGAGATCTGGAAGATTGAACTAAATCCTGCAGCACCCAATATGCAGAGCAACTCTCGGCTTCACAAAACTGTGAAATGTAAAAAACTTTCTAAGCAACAATCTTATTTTAATGTTGAGAACTGCAGGTCAAAAAAAGTTGTTCAAATGACAAATGGCATCACGGAAGTAAGCACACAGATTGCTCCCAAAGAGAGATCCTCACATTATTCAGAAACGTGGGATTCTGCAACAACTACTGAACCTACGATTACTTATAAGCAGTATATATTTAAGCCCGGGACTGCAGTGGATGTAAATGTTTCACATGTAAACACACCAGCAGATTTTTGGTGTCAACAGCTTTCCAAATCTTCACAGCTAAAGGTCTTGATGTTAGAAATTCAAAAATACTATTCAACTTGCAAAAGTATGTATCAGCCAGGACAAATAGCTTGCGTTGCTAAACGTATGTGTGACGGTATTTTTTACAGGGCATCAGTCACAAACCAGACCTCACGTAAAAAAATTGAGGTGCTTTTTGTGGACTATGGCTTTCTTGAGAAAGTTCCATTTTCCGAACTCAGGGAAATTAAATCACACTTTCTTAAACTAGAAGGTCAAGCATTTCGCTGCAGCTTGAATGCAGTTGCTCCTGTTTGGACATCTGCAGCTTGTAGGGACTTTAAAAACTTTGTTAAAGCAACCACTCTGAATTTAAAATGCACAATCTATGCACTGTATAGCGGAGAGACTTCTGGTCTCTGCAATGCAGTAAAATTGGAAAATCCTTATAATGACGCCTGCCAGTATTTAGTTGAAAAAGGACATGCTGTTGTCCTCTGTGACACTATTCAGTCTGTCAATCTACACACTTTCTGTTATTCCGACTTTGGTATTAAAGTTGGAGACAAGGAGCAAGTTTATGTTACTTATTTTTATAACTCTGGGAAATTTTACTGCCAGCTTGCTAGGAATACCAGCGTGATTGAAGAACTAATGGAGAATCTCTCTAGAATTGGAGAGAAAATAAAGCCTGAAGAATGTATGGGGAAAAAAAGCAGTCTGTGCATCGTAAAGTACTCAGAAGATGGTAATTACTACAGGGCTGTAACTTGTCCTGTAACAACTTCATCTTGCTTTGGTGCCTTTTTTGTTGACTTTGGAAACAACCAGATGGTTACTGAAAACGAGAGACTACCTATTCCAGGTGATGCAGCAGATATATTATGTGTACCAATGCAGGCCATTCAGTGTTCATTTTTTGATTTAAGAGATACTATTATCACACCCAAAGTTAAAAAATGGTTTGAGGATCACTGCATCGGTAAATTACTGAAAGCTGTAGTTGTTGCGAAAAACAGTGACGGGCAGCTGGAGTTAGAGCTGTATGATGGAAAGATCCTAATAAATCAAAAGATTAAGGACCTCTTGGGAACAAGTTCCCATATAGAGACTTCTGAAATGCAAGTGAAACATAGTAATGGATACACTGAAAATGGAAATACTAAACCCAACACCATACAGTGCAAACCAAGAGAAAAACAGAGTCTGAAGCCAGATTTGAATGGCGAAGATCCCACAATTTCAAACCAAATTCCTATGGACACAGACCTTGCACAGAAATCAAAACCCAGAAGTGACGGTTTTGTTAAATGTAAAACTTCTAAGCTGCAGACATTGAAAAAAACTGTTGTAAAGTGCAGTGATCTTCCACAAGAAAATATTGAGCCAGGCACAACTCTCATTGGATATACTTGTCATATAAATAACCCGTATGACTTTTATATCCAGCTTGCCGAACATGAGGAAAACATTCTGCTTCTTGCGGAGGATTTAAATAAAGAAACTGCATCTTTTCAGGTGATTTCAGTGAATGACTTGAAAACTGGCAATTTAGTTATAGCTCGATACCCAGAGGATCTGGCTTTGTATCGAGCAGTCATTAAAGAAGTTAAGGAAGAGCATGTCTTTGAAGTAGAATTTATTGACTACGGTAATACAGCAAATGTAGATTCCTCAAACATATTCATGCTTCCTGATAACTTTTTGACTACGCCTAAGTTGAGCATCCATGCTTCTCTTAGTGGACTTGATGATTTGCAAACAATCGATAAATGGAGTGAAAATATACTCTCCAGCTTCTCTGATCTGGTCAACAGCAAACCTTTGAGTTGTACTTTCATAAGTGTTCATAACTCATGGTGGAAGGTCTGCTTAACCTATGAAGGTAAGACTGTAGCAGATGAATTTATAAGCTTCTTTAGAACAAGCATTCAAAAATCCCCTTCAGTATCAAAAGAATATATTCCTGAGTTATGTCTAGCAGTTGATTGTGAAAAAGCTGTAGACATGGTCGGCAAGATTGAATCTGATCATCCAGTCCCAAGTCAGAGTTTTCAGCCCAGCCAGTTGGAAAAAGTGAAATGTGTTTTCTTTTCGGACTGTGGAATATTCTTTGTTACATTAGAACAAAATTCTCAGGAATCTAATTTAACTTCACTGATATCTTCTACTGTCCACAAAGCTGACAACAGGCTTGTTGTGAAAAATATTACCGAAGGGATGGTGTGTTTAGCAAAATCTGTTAAAATGGAAATGTGGTTCCGTGCAACCGTAGAGAAGACCTATCCAGATAAAATGAAAATGCTGGTATTTTTTATTGATCATGGCTCAAGGGAAACTATAAGTATGCACAATGCAAAAATGCTGGAAGGTGATGTATTAAATATCCCAAAGCAGGCAGTAGCCTGTAAATGGGTTTGGGCTAAAAATGTAGACGAAGCATCATTTAGAGAAGCGGTGTTATCGAACATTCAAAAAAATATCCAGGTCCTTTTTCTCGATTTCATATCCTCAGACAGTGCTTGGAAGGTGGAGGTTTTGATAAGTGGCTCACTTCTAATGGAGCATTTTCATAATAGAGGCTTTGCAGTATATGATAAATGTAACATTCCAAGCATGTGTGACAATTCAGGAGCCCTGTCCTTTCCAAAATTGTCAATTCCAGTGGCCCAATTCCAGTTTATGACACTCTACCCTGGCTTTGTAACTGCCGCCAATGATCCATCAGACTTCTGTCTTCAGTTAGATGATTGCGAAGACGCAATTAACAACCTATCAGAAATTATGGCAAATCTTCCCGGTGAGATCCCCTCTTTGCCATCTAATTCACTCGCCCTTGGATGTGTTTGCCTTCTAAAGTGCTTTTCTGGAAAAGAGTGGTGCCGAGTGGAAATTGTAGGCATAGTGAATAATTTCATTTTGCTGAACCTTCTTGATTATGGTGTGTTCAAGAAGATCCTTTGTGTGGATAGTGACAAATTAAAAATCATACCAAAAGAACTTGCAGGTTTTCCAGCGCTAACCTATCAATGCGCACTACACGGTGTGATTCCTCATGGATCCCATTGGTCCAAAGAAGCAACTGACTTTTTTTTGCAATTTGTAAAAAAACACGACCTGATGATACAGTTTATTAAAACAAGTGCCAACAACAAATTCGAAGTTTGTATATATGGTGAAGGTCAAGGAAGGCTAGCTTATCAGTTGGTTTCCAAAGGACACGCAAGGCACAATGAAAATGAAGACCCAAAGTCATATTCTGAAAATGTTTTGGAATCCGATATGGTAAGAATCATGGTAAAGCCTCAGGTAAACTTGAAAGGGTGTATGTGTAAAGCACAAGAAAGGGAGAATTAGCAAAGCAGATACAGTAACTTAAAGGAAATAGTAACAATTTAGTAGATATACCTGAAATATGCATGCAAATATTTTTGTTTTCCTGCATTTTTCTTTGGGGGTGCATGGGAACAAAAGAACAATTTACAAAAGCTGCAGCAGGCAAGAAGCACTTTACATTCTGTGTTCCATCTGGACAACTCCTTCTTGCGCCCTGCAGTAAGCCGGCCACCGGGATATGACGTCATCCTGGTATCCGAATCAATGCTGGGCGCGCAAGGGACCGGTGCAGGAAAAGCACAGAGATGTATGTGACTGTGTGTGTGGGTCTGTGATTTTATGTGTGGGTGGTTGTGTGCATATGTAAATACATGTGTATTTGTTTAGTATATAGCTCTCTAAGTTGGTATCCCCAAACATGGCATAAGGGTAAAAAATAAGGGTTATCTACTAAAAAAAACTTAAGAAAAGGGCTTTTAAAGTTTTATTATACAAATTATGTTAGAGATTTTATCTGTGGCCCAAGGCAATTCACCTGTGCTCAATGCAGCACAGGAAAGCCAAAAGGTTAGACACCCATTTGTTAAAGGGTTAAAGATCGCCGTACATATAGATGTATGTATGTGTATATGTATTATATATAATATACATGTATCCTATATATGTAACTTCATACTTCGTGAATTATAATAATCTAATTATGTATATTAATATTAAAATACACTTAGAATGACTTTATACACACACACACACGTGTGTGTGTGTGTATGTATGTATTTATAAAATTGTGATTATAAACTCCTTCCACCTGAAGTCTGTGGATAGTTAATACAATGTTAAACAGAAATCTGCACACCAGTCAAGCCATAAGACTTGCTTTTCCCACAGAAATCACAAATTTGCAGTGATGTTACTACCACAAAGGAATCTGGAGGGGCATATGCAAATTATTTCAACAAAGAATCACATTTTTGCCTCGTTCCATTTTAAACATGGATTCCTTTGAGTCTGTGTTTGATGCATACCACAGCTTTGAAACACAACTTGGGAAAAGCAAAACTGTGATTCTTTGTTGAACTAATTTGCATATGCCCACCCAGAATCCTTTGCAGTAGTAACATCACTGCAAATTTGTGATTTCTGTGGGAAAAGCAAGTCTTATGGCTTGACTGGTGTGCAGATTTTTGTTTAACATTGTAGTTAATATATATATATATATATATATTTATATATATATTCTAATTTGTAGATTGGATTAGCCGTATTAGTCCAGTAGGCAAGATGCCAAAATACCGCAGTTTTTCAGTATGCTTGGCAGTCTCCTTCCTCTGAGTGCATCTGGATTCATATTAGTTTGTGTGTGTGTGTCTCTAACAAAATACACTTAGAATGAAATGCTATAAATAAATAAGATGCCACAATACCAGAGAATCTGAGATGCAGTTTAAGGCCAGTTTCTCCAATGTAGCAACCTTTGTCACACACTGTACACTGTATGATGTACACCACGTAGGCAGATGTGAACGAAAATGATCCTTTAATGTTGTATGACTTGTTATTGTCTAGCTGTGTTGACACAGTTTGCAGAGTGATTTGTTGCATCACACAGTGTCATTCAGTGTGAGCTCCTGTTCTGTGGTCCATTTGCTGCCGACCAATCTCTGGCTCAGGTTAAGCGGTTGCTTGAATGCTAGTATGGGGGGACCAGGAAACATTTTTTTGAGTCTAAAATTAATGGTTGTAGCTCTTTAATAATTTTACGTACTCCTTTTAGAGTTGGGTTGTATGTAACTACTAGAGGGATTTGTTTTCCTTTTCTTTGTATTGTAGGAGCTTTTCCCGTGGTGTTTTTGGGGCAGATTTTTTTTTTTTGTTTTTTTGTTTTATATAGTGTAATTTCCTTGTAGCTTGGGATGAGCATGGGCAAATTTTGGTTCGGTTTGGAAATTCGGCTAAGTTAAAATAAAATTGTCTGCTTCGGCAATTCGGACAAATGGCATTTAGTTTGGTTCTGCACTTCGGCACTTTGGACATTCGTAAACGTCCGAATGGCATGAAATTTGAATGAATGTACATTTGGAATGAAACGAATCGCACATGTTTGTGGTAACATGAATGCAAGCCAACACCCTGACAGGCTGATTTATATGCTTTCCTACCTCAATGACCCTGTGTGCCTTCATTGGCCAAGTGTCAGTGACAAAATCACCAATATTGTAAAGCGCTACAGAATTTGTTGGCGCTGTATAAATGGCAATAATAATTGGCTGTCCCTTAACATCATTCACATAATTTTCCCTCCCTCTGTCTTGTTTTGCCACTTTTCAGAAATCCGAATCACTTCGGAGCTTTGGCACTTCGGACATTCGTAAGCGTCTGAATGGCATGAAATTCGTGCGAATATACATTCGGAACAAAACAAATCGCACATGTCTTATAGCCCTTTTGCCTAAATGACTCTGACAGTGTACTCAGGTGCTGATCTCTGTCTTTTGTGTCAGAGCAAATGCGGTGATGTCTGATACCCTGACTGTAGATTAAACCTTGTTTGGTGTGACGGGGATGGAAGCTGGAATTGTGGAGGTAGCTGTACCGGTCTGTGGGTTTTCTATATACAGACCAATAAAGAATGCCATTGGTGACCGTTACTGTGCAGTCCAAAAAACTCACACTATGATTTGAAAAGTTCATTTTAATGTTTACTGAAGGGTGGAATGATTTATGGAAGTCTATAAGGCTTTCTTCTTCTGTCTACATTATGAAAATATTATTGATGTAACGATAATATGTATATGGTTTGTGCAGCTGTGTTAAACACACATCTTCATGTCTTATATACAGGTGATACTCGAAAACAGGCCTTGACAAATTTGTTTGGAAAATAGGAGCTAGCTAAAAAAGGTAGGAGCCAGTAATTTTCAACGAGAAAGTGCAATTCTTAAAGGGACACTATAGTCACCAGAACCACTACAGCTTGATGTAGTTGTTCTGGTGTCTATAGCCTGTCCCTGCAGGTCTTTCAGTGTAAACACTGCCTTTTCATTGAAAAGGCAGAGTTTACATTGCTGCTTAGTAACCTCTCTAGTCACAGTCACTCAGATGGCCACTAGAGTGTCCTGGGTCACTGCTGCACCACGTGCAGCACCCTGGTTCAGTGTCTCCAATCTCTGCATGGAGGCGCTGAATGTTAATCATAGAGATTGATTAATGTAATGCAATGCATCTCTGAGGAGATGCAGATTGGTACATTTGCTGCGCATGCACAAAATTCTCCCAATGCTTTCCTAAGGGAAAGCATTGCCTTAGCTGAGATCATAAAGATTGATCATCTCAGCCATGGCGAAACTGGCACGGCGTGGGAAATGGGAAGAAAGGTGAGTAAAAACATGTGCAATCGGAGGGGGCAGGTACCTAAACGTGCACACACTGACAGGCTCGCTGACAACAGGCTCACACACACCCAGACAGCAGTCACAGACATAGACACTCTGACAGGCTCACACACACACTGACAGGCTCACACACACACACACTGACAGGCTCACACACACACACTCTGACTGGCTCACACACACACTCTGACTGGCTCACACACACACTCTGACTGGCTCACACACACACGCTGACTGGCTCACACACACACACGCTGACTGGCTCACACACACACACACTGACTGGCTCACACACTCATGCGCACACTCTGTGTGAGCCAGTCAGAGTGTGAGTGTGTGAGCCAGTCAGAGTGTGCGCGTGAGTGTGTGAGCCAGTCAGAGTGTGCGCGTGAGTGTGTGAGCCAGTCAGAGTGTGCGCGTGAGTGTGTGAGCCAGTCAGTGTGTGTGTGTGTGTGAGCCAGTATGTTGTGTAATATCTGTGTGTGTGTGTATGTGCAGTCAGTAAGTGTGTGTAGTAGAAACCAGTGTGTGAGAGCCAGTCAGTGTGTATGTGAGCCAGTCAGTATGAGCCAGTCAGTGTGAGTGTATGAGCCAATCAGTGTGAGTGTGTGAGCCAGTCAGTGTGAGTGTGAGAGCCAGTCAGTGTGTGTGTGTGAGCCAGTCAGTGTGAGTGTGTGAGCCAGTCAGTGTGAGTGTGTGAGCCAGTCAGTGTGAGTGTGTGAGCCAGTCAGTGTGAGTGTGTGAGCCAGTCAGTGTGAGTGTGTGAGCCAGTCAGTGTGAGTGTGTGTGTGAGTCAGTATGTGTGAGTGTGTGAGCCAGTCAGTGTGTGTGTGTGTGTGTGAGTCAGTATGTGTGTGTGTGTGTGTGAGTCAGTATGTGTGAGTGTGTGAGCCAGTCAGTGTGTGTGTGTGTGTGAGCCAGTCAGTGTGTGTGTGTGTGTGAGCCAGTCAGTGTGTGTGTGTGTGAGCCAGTCGCTCACACACACGCACACACAGTCTGACTGGCTCACACACGCTCACACACACGCACACACAGTCTGACTGGCTCACACACGCACTCTGTCTGACTGGCGCACACAGACTTACACACACACACACACATTTTTGTTTGAATTGAAACCCACTCAGCCTCCCTACCTTTGGGAGAGCTGAGAGGGTTCCTGGGGTCCAGTGGGGCTGCACTCTTCCTGTGTTTGAGGGAGCAGCACTCAGCCTGTAGCTCCTCTGTGCTCCCTCGCGTTCTGTAATGATTCCGGGGCCGGAATGACATCATATTCCGGCTCCCGACATCACACAGGGGGAGGGAGCAGAGAGCAGCTGCAAACAGAGTACTGCTCCCTCGTGCGCCGCCCATATTGCTCCCATGGGCGGCCGCCTCTTCCGTGCTCTTCAGGGCGGCTGCCCACCTCCATGTACCCGCGGGCAGGCGACCACCTCCTCCATGCTCCTGCAGGCGGCCGCCCATCTCCAAAAGAATCGTGCAAAAGTGAAAAAGTTTATTTCAGTAATGCCATGTAAAAGGGGAAACTAAAAAATGAGATAGACGCATTACATGCAAAGCAAGATAGTTCAAGCCGTGATTTGTCATGGCTGCAATGATTATGGCTTTCAGCCCATGAAAACCCCAAATCCACAATCTCAGTAAACTAGAATATTACATGCAATCAATAAAACAAGGAGTGTACCTAGAACAATATCGGACCTCTGAAAAGTATAAGCATGCATTTGGACTCAGTACTTAGTTTAGGCCTCTTTTGCAGAAATTACTGCCTCAATGCGGCGTGGCATGGAAGCTATCATCCCGTAGCACTGCTGAGGTGTTATGGAAGACCAGGATGCTTTAATAGCGGCCTTCGTCTCTTTTGCATTGTTCGGTCTCATGTCTCTCATCTTTCTCTTGGCAATGCCCCATAGATTCTCTATGTGGTTCAGGTCAGGCGAGTTTGCTGGCCAATCAAGCACAGTAATCCCACGGTCATTGAACCAGGCTTTGGTTCTTTTGGCAGTGTGGGCAGGTGCCAAGTCCTGCTGGAAAATGAAGTCAGCATCCCCATAAAGCTCATCTGCGGAAGGAAGCATGAAGTGCTCCAAAATCTCCTGGTAGACGGCTGCGATGACCCTGGACTTAATGAAGCACAGTGGACCAACACCAGCAGATGACATGGCTCCCCAAATCAACACAGACTGTGGAAACTTCACACTGGACATCAAGCATCTTGCAGTGTGTGCATTTCCATTCTTCCTCCAGACTCTGGGTCCTTGGTTTCCCAAATGAGATGAAAAAGTTGCTCTCATCTGAAAAGAGGACTTTGGACCACTGAGCAACAGACCAGGTCTTTAGCCCAGGTAAGACGCTTAAGACGTTGTTTGTTGTTCAGGAGTGGCTTGACAAGAGGAATACGACATCTGAAGCCCATGTCCAGGATCCGTCTCTGTGTGATGGCTCTTGATGCACTGACTCAAGCCTCAGTCCGCTCCTTGTGAAAGTCCCCAACACTTTTGAATGGCCTTTTCCTGACAATCCTCTCCAGGTTGCAGTCATCCCTGCTGCTTGTGCACCCTTTTCTTCCACACTTTTCCCTTCCACATAACTTTCTATTACTGTGCTTTGATACAACACTTTGGGAACATCAACTTCCTTCGCAATTACCTTTTGAGGCTTTCCCTCCTTATGGAGGGTGTCAGTGATGGTTTTCTGCACAACTGTCAGGTCAGTCTTCCCCATGATTGTGATTCCTACTGAACCAGACTGAGAGACCATTTAAAGGCTCAGAAACCTTTTGCAGGTGTTATGGCTTACTTAGCTGATTAGAGTGGGACACTGTGATCCTAGAATATTGCACCTTTTCACAATATTCTAATTTACTGAGATTGTGGATTTGGGGTTTTCATGAGCTGTAAGCCATAATTATTGCACTTATGACAAATCACGGCTTGAACTATCTTGCTTTGCATGTAATGCGTCTATCTCATATATATATTAGTTTCCCCTTTTACGTTGCATTACTGAAATAAATGAACTTTTGCACCATATTCAAATTTTTCGCGTATCACCTGTAGTTCTTTTTCAGTATTCTCGCTTCACCTTTATTGGATCAATTTATATACATACATATATGCAGCTATATACTTGCATGCCATGCTCTGCTGTTTTTGTTTGGTTTTTAACTAGCTTATTGACTCTCCTCTGTTTATTTACATTTTCTGGCTATTCCCAGCCAACCTGCACCTTTCACTTTCAGGCACATCTGCTATTTGACACCCTCCTCCCTCCCCTTCTCTAACATCAGTTGTTTTAAGTGTTAAACTCTATTAGATTGATCAGTATTTCTTCGACCTGAGGAAGAGAGGAAAACTCTTCAAAGTTTGTCTTTGAAATTAGTTAGTCCAATAAAAAAAGTATCATTGCATACTGCAAAACTCTGGTACTGTGGCATCTTATTTATTACTGCTAGACTAATACGGCTAATCCAATCTACACTATTACGGCAGATATAAATAAATACAAATAATTGCGCGCATATATATATATATCTACGTGTATATTTTTATGTAATCTTTTATCTTTAGATTTATGTGATTTTAGTAATTTAAATTTAAGGGAAACGCCTGATGGCAGAAAGTGCAGAGAATTTAATTCGCAAGCACTATATTTAACCCTGTAAATTTCCAAAATCGTAAATTATATTACAACAATGATATTGTCAGTGAAAGTGAAGTTTTTTGCATTTGTCACACACAAACGACACTTTCACTGACTATATTATTGTTTTGAAACATTAATATTTATATTCAGTGAAGTCTCCCGAGTATAACAGTACAGGTTTTATGGTGTTTTGGAAAATTTGATTCAAATATAAGGCTTGCATTTCAGTTTTTTTTTGTTTTTTTTCACATTGAAATTTGCCAGATTGACAATGTCGCATTTCAGACCGTATGGTAGCCCAAGAATGAGAATTACCCCCATGATGGCATACCATTTGCAAAAGTAGAAAACCCAAGGTATTGCAAGTGGGGTATGTCCAGTCTTTTTTTTTTTTAGTAGCCACTTAGTCACAAACACTGGCCAAAGTTAGCATTGTTTTTTTGCATTTTTCACACAAAAACAAATATGAATGCTAACTTTGGCCAGTGTTTGTGACTAAGTGGCTACTAAAAAAAATTGGACATACCCCATATTGAGTACCCATCATGGGGGTATTTCTCATTCAAAGGCAACATAACCAACCTGGCAAATTTTTAATGTGTAAAAACTGAAAAATGATACGTGCTATATTTATTTGGCCATGTAACTTTCCAAAACACCATAAAACCTGTTCATGAAAGGGGGTACTGTTGTACTTGTGAGACATCGCTGAATAGAAATGTGTATTTTATTGCAGTAAAAGCTAACCGGATTATGATATTAAAAAACTTTTTAAAGATTTTATTCATAATTGTTATATATATATGAATAGTTGCTGTGAAATGAAAGCCATGTTTCTCCTGAACAGAATTATATATATTAAGTGTGAGGTCACTTAAAGGACCACTCTAGGCACCCAGACCACTTCAGCTTAATGAAGTGGTCTGGGTGCCTGGTCCAGCTAGGATTAACCCTTTCTTCTATAAACATAGCAGTTTCAGAGAAACTGCTATGTTTATAAATGGGTTAATCCAGCCTCTAAAGCCTCTAGTGGCTGTCTCATTGACAGCCGCTAGAGGTGTTTGCGTGCTTCTCACTGTGAAAATCACAGTGAGAACAGGCAAGCGTCCATAGGAAAGCATTATTATGCTTTCCTATGAGACTGGCTGAATGCGCGCGCAGCTCCTGCCGCGCATGCGCATTCAGCCGAAGAGGAGGAGAGCTCCCCGCCCAGCGCTGGAGAAAGAGGTAAGTTTTAACCCTGTCCTCGCCATCCAGCCTGGCGGGAGGGGGTCCCTGAGGGTGGGGGCACCCTCAGGGCACTATAGTGCCAGGAAAAAAAGTGTGTTTTCCTGGCACTATAGTGGTCCTTTAATATGAAAGAGGTGATTTATGGTTGAACAGACTTCTAATGCAAATTCCAGTTTTTGTTTACATTTTGTTTTGATCAAAATTTGTACAATTGCCTCTGTCCTTAACCCCTTAAGGACCAAACTTCTGGTATAAAAGGGAATTATGACATGTCACACGTCATGTGTCCTTAAGGGGTTAATGTGCTAATTTTGAAACTTTTCTTTTTTCTTTAAATTGTATAAAATATATTTAAAAAAAGAAAACCTTTTTATAAACATAGTGTGTGAATGTATTTAATTTCTAATTCTCTAGTCTGCCTTTAATTATAGGAAATTGATGTGCTTTTGTTTTTCTTTTCAGAAAAATCTAAAGGTATCACTCTTTAAGAATACATGAAATGACCGGACTGCTGCTCTTTAACTTCATATAGTGTTGTAGTAAAGCGGTTTTATTTTTCGATTGAGATGTAAAAAAGTTTTTTTTTGCCTCATTTACTGGTTTGAAAACCTTATAACTAAAGCTCAGATCTATTCTTTACACTATTTGTTAGATTTAATTAAATTGTAATGGTACATTTCAGTAAAATTGGTGATGTGAAGTATAAAGTCATTGTATCAGAGATATATATAGAATTATATAATTTATATTCTAGAATATATAATTAATCTGTTATACATAGAAATGATGTTCTTTGTCAGCAGTAGCAAGTTTTTGTCCCTTCTAAAAAGTTGAAAGTTCAAGTAATGGTTTGGTGTTTTGATGTACATACTGAAATCAGGGTTGTCCTTAAATTGCCTTCCAGCTATGTAAGAAGTCCAACTAAAGATTAGCAAAGCATTTTAGGCCAACAAGTAGACTTTCGGCTCATGTAGAACCAAAACCTTTTGCGTCTAAGCAGGCTCCCTTATTGTTTGAGTTCAGTCACCTTTATATCTTGTGGAGTAGAAAAAACATATTCTAATGGAACATTTGCGGGCCTATTATAGGCCAGAGTTTCATCTACAATGGCTCTGCTACACATTCAGCTTGATATGCCTCTACCAGTGGGTCTAAAATCTGTCATAAAGGAGTATTCTTGTTGCCAGAATATTTCCATGTCTATTGTAGACCAAGGTTCTCCAATCTGGCCCTCCAGATTTTGCTAATCTACAATTCCCATAATTATTTGAAAGAAATGGCCAGAGAGTCATGGGAGTTGTACTTCAGCAACAGAGTTTGGAGAGCTCTGTTCTAGACCGTCTTATACAGAAGTGGGCAAAAGGTAAGTTCCTGGCTCTTACAAACCTTCGTGTTATGTTGTATTGTGTTGATGGTATGTGTGTTGTTTTTTGCTTAAATGAAATTTTTATTTATTTAGAATACTTGAATTAAGTTCCCAATTAGTGAAAATCTAGTACTGTCTTGTATGATTTATTTAGCATGCTGCAGTAAATAAATTTTCATTTTGAAAGCATTGTATGAAATCCGTTGTACGTATCTAATGCAGTGCATCTATACGTTTTAAATCTGTCTTTTGCTTGTGCAGTGTGCAAAATTGGTTTTTGATGTGTGCTTTGGAAATGGAGTCATTGTGGTTATAAACCATTACCTAACTTAAAGGGGCACTTGAAGCACCATGACCACTACATCCCTTTGTAGTGGGTATGGTGCCAGGAGTTCCCTGACTATCCCACAGTAAGCAGGTCTCTTGAGCACCCCAGGTCTTGTATTGCTGATTCATAGGTCCCTAAGTCTGCATTTGAAATGTTGATTCCTTCCAATCCGTGTAAGAACAGTATTCGCTGGCTGAGTGCCTGGTAAGTGTCAAACCCTCAAACAGTAAGTGTCAAACCACTGATTTGACTTCTTACTATTTGATGCCTGGGGTCTCCTGGCTCCATAATCTCAGTAGAGTGCTTTAGTGGTTATGGATCCATGATTACATTTGATTAATGTATGGACCATTAGGAAAAGTCAGAATAAGGAAAACCTTTTTAATGCACTTGACAAACAGTGACTAAAATTCTATTTGTTAATGTCATGGAAACTTTAGGTAAAAATTAAATATCACAAAGAAAAGGGTCAAACAATGTTTTCACTTCTATGGATAACGCCTTTAATATTTTTGCAGTCGCATTTCCTAAATGGAAACATGTTTATTTTTACCTTAAACCCTTGAGAACAAAGGGGTAGATAAATGCAATGATATCACAATTCTTAAAGCATATCATCTGTCACTCGGTTAAAAATGAAAGCTCTTGTTTTAGAATTGATTTGATAATATCTTGACCAAAATAAAATTAAAAAAATGGCTACCCATAGCTTTATCGGTCACCCACCTTGTCAAGGCCCAACTTGCTTTTGGCAGCCATATATATGCTCAGATGTGCTCTTTGTGTGCTCTTTTTACAATGTTTATTGTATATAATATAGATATATATCCCTTCCCCCTCCCCAATGACCAATTTCTTCATCACACACGTTCATTTATGGTAGGCCGGATATTCATAATAAGGGGAATAAACATTGCCATAGCCATTTTTTAATTTTATATATACACACACACACACACCACAAAAAAATTGTCTTGCACTCCACTTACTGGTGTCTCTGCCCGGTGCTTATCGGCATAGTATAACTAATTGTGTAGATATAGCACTCCCAGGACTCCAAAGGTGTAAAAATAAAATGTAACTTATTTTCCAAATTTAAAAGATCAACGATTCAGTTGGTCACCCTGATGAAAGTTTGGGTGACAAACTGAAACGTTGATCTTTTAAATTTAGAAAATAAGTTACATTTTATTTTTACACCTTTGGAGTCCTGGGAGTGCTCTCTCTACGCAATTTGATAGATATATTTATATTTCCTGGCCATATCCATGGCAGCACAACAATGGATAGCTCCTCCCCTATCCCTAATTAGACAGGAACTGATTTAAAATAAAGGTACAAGTACCTCCTCCTTCAGTCTTTTTGTTCCTGTCCTATCCATGTAGGACCAAATTAGTCTATTTCAGGACTATAATCAGTTTTTCTTTTTGGCTTACTGAGGCTTCAGTATCTGGCCCTGCGCAAAGGTGTCCCCCTGAAGGTACCCCCTTAGTGGCCAGGGGTTTGCATGCTGTGATCCTAGGGGTAGCAAGAGAAAAAAATGCCAATAATCTTATTCCCTGTAGTGACCAAGAGGTAGCAGGAAGTGGCGAGAAGATTTTATCCTGGAAGCATCCTTATATTTTTCCATATTGGCAGCCTGCATGTATGTATACATAAAATACTCTTATATCATGTATTTTAGTATGCCTCTATATGTGGGTTCCCCCTCCTGCCTATTTACCTTCATTTACTTGCATCAATCTTTTTAAATTGCTTTTCATACCTCCATATAACTTTTTCGTAGTATTCCATCCAAAGTAGCGTGAGATTCGCGCATGCGCGCGTCATACGAACATCCCGATTTAAATGGGAAATAAATCTATTATGACCTGGGCGCAAGTGTTTGCGCATAAGCGAGGACGAGCGCCCACGGGGTCAAACAAATACCTTTTTGTTTCATTATGCCGGTATCCTTTTTTTGCGCATGTGCAATTGCTCAATTGTTGCCGCGATCTGAGCATGTGCGGGAAAGACGGTGAGATCACTAATGACATCACACGCCTATTTAAGCGACAAAGGCCAGGAGATATGGAGAAAAACGCCCTAAAGGAATTTATCTCATCCCTTCAAGAAAATTGAGTTATTGTTCAAGGGCACAACAGACACACAGATTTTACTCCCATATTTTTCTCACCAGAAAATCCACAGGAGGATGGAGACCATTACTAAACCTAAGCAGACTAAACAAGTTCCTAATCTTAATGAAATTCAAAATTGAATCTCTTCAATCCATTGTAAAGGCAGTATTCCCAGACCAGTGGCTTATGTCAATAGACTTGGCAGATACATGTTTTCATATTCCCATCGCTCTTCAGCATCAAAAATATCTCAGATTTGCAGTGGAAGAAGGTCACTTTCAGTTCTGTGCGCTTCCTTTTGGCTTAAGCACAGCCCCACGCACTTTCTCAAAGGCTCTTGTGATTCTAATTGCAGAACTCAGAAAAAAAGGCATTGCAATATATCATTATCTGGACGACATCTTGATTCTGGCAGAAAGCCAACAAGTCATGGTCTTGTATGTATGCAATTTCACCAACAACACGGTTGGAAAATCAACATCTCCAAGAGCCATCTGATCCCATCTCAGAACATGATTTACCTGGGAGCTTCAAAGGTTTGGTACAACTGTCTCCAGAAAGGGGTACGAAGATTCAGAGAAAAGTCAAACATGTTGGCATCCAGTGTATCCTCGGCAGAAAAAACTGAGTCTCCTGGGACTCACCATAGGCCTGACAAGATGGGCTCAATGGAGGATGAGACCTTTTCAAAGAAATTTTCTTTACCAATTCAAAACGGGGAGTCTATCTCAGCCAATCAGTATTCCTCATCATGTTCAGAAATCCTTGAAGTGGTGGATGCAGAAGAAATTCCTCTTCCAAGGTTTTCCTCTAGGAAACATCCCATGGATCGTTATTACCACAGACGCCAGTTCAAGGACAACTATGTTCAAGGAAAATTGACTTTTCTTGCAACAAATACACCTTCGAATCTACTAGAGCTTCTTGCAGTTTTCAAAGCCCTGAAATACTTCCAACAGCTTCTACTTCACAAGTGGGTAAAAATCAGGACAGACAATGCCACGGTAGTAGCATATAGAAATAATCAAGGAGGGACACGTAGTCACAGAATGATGAAAATAATGAGACCTCTTATGTCCTGCTCACAAATGAATTTGGCAGGCATCTCCGCAATTCACCTTCCAGGAATACATAATTCGGTAGCCGACTTTCTCAGCAGGGTAAGGATAGACCTAGGAGAATGGAGTCTTTCGAACAAGATATTCCTACTGATTACAGAAAAATGGGGTCTTCCGCAAGTAGATCTGATGGCAACAACAGAAAGGTAAAGAATTTTCTTCTTGGTCCTGATCAAGACCTATGGATATTCAGAAACCATCAACCTAAGATATTCTGGAGTTTCTACAATCCGGCTTGGAAAAACGTTTGTTATAATACTTTGAAAGTCCATATTTCAGCCTTTCTGCTTTCACTAATCACAAATGGGCCTGATTCGGACATAGTAAGATTCATGATGGCAGTCTTAAAAATCAAGCCTCCTATGACTCCACCATGGGATTTACCACTGGTTTTTAAAGCACTCAAAACAGATCTGTTTGAACCATTGGAATCTATTTTTTATCATCTTCTCACCATCAAAACGGTTCTATTAGTAGCCTTAGCTTCTGGTAGAAGGGTATCAGATCTTCAGGCTCTATCTTCTAAGGAAACTTTGACTATTTTTCATAAAAACAGTCATTCTGAGAACAGTTCCGTAATTCCGTCCTAAGGTGACTTCGGTGTTTCATATAAATGAGGAAATAGTGCTACCAGCATTACTTTCAGAAGAACCAAACTGCAGAGAAGACACTAATTGGAACACTATTGACTTAGTGAGAGGCCTCAAGATCTATGTGCAGAGATATTCGGAATGGCGTACTTCTAAAAGGCTTTTTGTCATTCCTAACGGCTTTAGCAAAGGCATTCAAGCTTCTAAAGCCACTATCAGCAGATGGATAGTTTCATCTATTATCCAGGCCTATAAAGCATCTAAGGCAAGGATCTCTGAAGGTTTAAAAGCACACTCTACACGTTCTCTTTCTCTTCATCCTGGGCGGTAGCAGCAAAAGTTTCTACAGAACTAATTTGCAAAGCAGCTACTTGGCCATCTTCAAATACATTTATCAGACATTATCGTTTAGACGTAAAGGCTGGTCAATCTGATGAATTTGGCAGATCTGTCCTTTCTGCATCTGTTTGTTAACCTCTTGCATGGTTTGTCACGTTTGGTTGATTATATAATGCAAGTGTATTAGCACAATTTTTTTGTCTGAGTTTTTCTTTTCCCTCCCTTGGTTTTATGCTTGGGTATTACACATTGTTGTGCTGCCATGGATATAGCTAGGAAAGAGAAAAATTTACTCATACTTACCGTAATTTTCTTTTCCTGGTCATAGGCCATGGCAGCACAAAGATCCCACCCAGGGATATTGCTGTTAACTAGACTGAGGTAGGAGGGGGTGCTTGTACCTTTACAGGGAGTGCAGAATTATTAGGCAAATGAGTATTTTGACCACATCATCCTCTTTATGCATGTTGTCTTACTCCAAGCTGTATAGGCTCGAAAGCCTACTACCAATTAAGCATATTAGGTGATGTGCATCTCTGTAATGAGAAGGGGTGTGGTCTAATGACATCAACACCCTATATCAGGTGTGCATAATTATTAGGCAACTTCCTTTCCTTTGGCAAAATGGGTCAAAAGAAGGACTTGACAGGCTCAGAAAAGTCAAAAATAGTGAGATATCTTGCAGAGGGATGCAGCACTCTTAAAATTGCAAAGCTTCTGAAGCGTGATCATCGAACAATCAAGCGTTTCATTCAAAATAGTCAACAGGGTCGCAAGAAGCGTGTGGAAAAACCAAGGCGCAAAATAACTGCCCATGAACTGAGAAAAGTCAAGCGTGCAGCTGCCACGATGCCACTTGCCACCAGTTTGGCCATATTTCAGAGCTGCAACATCACTGGAGTGCCCAAAAGCACAAGGTGTGCAATACTCAGAGACATGGCCAAGGTAAGAAAGGCTGAAAGACGACCACCACTGAACAAGACACACAAGCTGAAACGTCAAGACTGGGCCAAGAAATATCTCAAGACTGATTTTGCTAAGGTTTTATGGACTGATGAAATGAGAGTGAGTCTTGATGGGCCAGATGGATGGGCCCGTGGCTGGATTGGTAAAGGGCAGAGAGCTCCAGTCCGACTCAGACGCCAGCAAGGTGGAGGTGGAGTACTGGTTTGGGCTGGTATCATCAAAGATGAGCTTGTGGGGCCTTTTCGGGTTGAGGATGGAGTCAAGCTCAACTCCCAGTCCTACTGCCAGTTCCTGGAAGACACCTTCTTCAAGCAGTGATACAGGAAGAAGTCTGCATCCTTCAAGAAAAACATGATTTTCATGCAGGACAATGCTCCATCACACGCGTCCAAGTACTCCACAGCGTGGCTGGCAAGAAAGGGTATAAAAGAAGAAAATCTAATGACATGGCCTCCTTGTTCACCTGATCTGAACCCCATTGAGAACCTGTGGTCCATCATCAAATGTGAGATTTACAAGGAGGGAAAACAGTACACCTCTCTGAACAGTGTCTGGGAGGCTGTGGTTGCTGCTGCACGCAATGTTGATGGTGAACAGATCAAAACACTGACAGAATCCATGGATGGCAGGCTTTTGAGTGTCCTTGCAAAGAAAGGTGGCTATATTGGTCACTGATTTGTTTTTGTTTTGTTTTTGAATGTCAGAAATGTATATTTGTGAATGTTGAGATGTTATATTGGTTTCACTGGTAATAATAAATAATTGAAATGGGTATATATTTGTTTTTTGTTAAGTTGCCTAATAATTATGCACAGTAATAGTCACCTGCACACACAGATATCCCCCTAACATAGCTATAACTAAAAACAAACTAAAAACTACTTCCAAAAATATTCAGCTTTGATATTAATGAGTTTTTTGGGTTCATTGAGAACATGGTTGTTGTTCAATAATAAAATTAATCCTCAAAAATACAACTTGCCTAATAATTCTGCACTCCCTGTATTTTAATTAATTCCTGTCTAATTAGGGATAGGGGAGGAGCTACCCATTGTTGTGCTGCCTTGGCCTATGACCTGGAAAAGAAAATTACGGTAAGTATGAGTAAATATCTCTCTCCCCTTCCCTGCCAGAGTCACAGGAGCATCTAAACGGGACTGTGATGCCCCTGTGACTTTGTCAGAGCGGGCACGATAGCACAGGTAAGTTAACAAAAAAATGGGAGAAATAAAATAGCCTGACTTCTAACTTTTGATCATGGATCATAAAGAAAATTAATTAGACCCTGTGGTAAAAGGAAGTCTGTGAAGAGAACAGCACAATTTTGTTTGCTGTGGGTGTTTTTACCTTTTAAAGGGTATTAAGGAGAAGGTTGGCAACACTTGGAATGGCATTTGTCACATGTGCTGGTGGTGCAACTAGCCTCCAGCACACAAGTGTAGATCACTCTGAATGTGCAGTGTTTCAAACAATCACTGAAGTGGTCATAGTGGTTGGAGTAACCATTTAAGTGTTTAACTGTTCCCAAAAGGTTCAACACTTGGTAATATATGTGTAAATTATGTGAGAATATACTGATATTTGTTCTCTCACATCAAGCAAAGAATATGATGGTATGTGACCATGACATATCGATGGGCCATTTTATAGTATATGTGGTTGTGATATTCAGTATATCGCAAACACAATGACAACAAGAAAAAAATGATATCCTATTAAATAGCATATCATTCAAGGACCAATGTGCAGTCATAATGCAGTAAGTTCAAAGGCCCAAAAGAAGATTGTTGAAGCAACAACGGACATGCCAAGCACCAACACAACTTTATTGGATTTGACCACTTTTTTTTTTATGCTTGTTCAAATCTTTATAGGTTTGCACACAAAAATTTTTTTTGCAGAACTGCGCCAACAGCCTTCCTCTTCACTCCAGGAGAAGACTTAAACACTTCCTTATCAAATATTTGCATAAAGCTCGATCCACTGATAGTAATGAATGAACAGCATTAGGAGAGGACACCCAGGGACATATACAGTAAGGACCTCACTACCTGTTTTTATAGTTTCTCTGACTGTCTGCAGCCAGGTTGTGGATTAAATGCAGCTCACCCAGGCCATGTTTATGAGGCCAAATAACATTGAATTTGTAGTGGTGTGTGGAGTGTCCTTTAATATTTTGTGTGTTTTGGAATATCCATAAATATATGTAGACCGATGTTTTAAAACATAACCAGGCCATTTTCCACGTCTTTAATATCAAGCGCAAATACACCTCCATTTCATTTTCTGTTCTGAATTGACAATCGTTGGTTATGTACTCTGAGCATCATTTTGTGTAATAAGACAATGTAATTTCTTAAGTTAATTTCTCAAGATATTTTTTATATATATATATTTTTATTTTTTTTACTAATGACTTACAATATAATTTTTTTTCCTTAGACTTCAGCTTTTTATCAATACAAAAAAAATGGCACGATATGTCAAATGCAAATAATGATGTGATAATTGTAATTCTTTTTCTCTAATGCTTTGGAAGAAATGTTTTAAACTAAACACTATAATATAACAGTAAACATATCTGTTTTGTAAAGCATTCTCTTGGGTATGTTGAGGGAAATTATCAGCTGCTTCATTAAAATTTAAGCAGAGGGTTTGCAAATCCAAAACATTTTAATCCATCTGCTGGACTTCTATTGATATTGCAGTAACAATGAAAATTGATGTAAGATACAGAATCTGAAAAAAGAGTAATGATATAGGCCTACAAGTGATGTCCTGAACATACTAACCTGTACCAAAAGTGAGTGCAGTTAGACCACTATTGTCAAAAAAGAAGCAAAAGATAAAAAAAGTTGCTCTGTATGAACATATTTTAGTGTTATAGGACGAGATTCCAAGTGGTTTGTGAATTTGAAATGGCAACTAATATGTTTGATAGGTTTTTAGTACTAATGCTTCTTGATGTAGAAAATGTTTGTAGTTTGTTTTGACAAATTCTGCTACTTTCATTATTCCAAATCATAGCAAAGATACATGCTACCATTAAGTTCAGCTTTTCTCACATCTGTTATTTGCTGTTGAGCCCAAAGAAGGCAAAAAACACAGTTTGAAGTGCTTCTAATTTTGCAACAAATTAGGAAAAAAAAAATCTTTGTTTACCCTAGAATGGCAGTCAGCTCTATCCTTGGATCAAGAAGCTGTGCCTTACAAATTATATAAATATATCCATGAATAATGTGTTTTTGCAAGTATTCAGACAGTTGCTGTTTAACATCTGCACAGACTCACACTCTGATAAAACCACCTCTTCAGGCAGACAATTCTACATCCTTATTGTTTTACTGGATAAAAAAAAGATTCCTTTGCCGTAGACCAAATCTCCTTTCTTCCAATCTAAATATGTGACCTTGTGTCCTATGTACAGTCCTCTTTATAAATAGTTTGCCAGACAATAGTTTGTATTGGCCCTGGATTTATTTGTTCATGATGAAATCATATTAATTTGATCTGGAAACTGGCAGACATGAAATGCTACACAAATATTTGGTAATGGTTAAGAAAGAAAAGCTTGAGAGAGTGTGCACAGTGATTAAAGGTGAGCACCATCTAAGTTGATATGCTGACAGACCAGGTAAAAAATAACAAAGTACTTTAGAGCTACTGGAGACATCTCTGGTGAGAGATAGACGTCTGACACCAAACCGGTAACTAGAACACCTCATTTGGTAAATCAGTGTTTTTCTTGAAGATTGTCCTTGGTGACACATATCATTAAGAACTAAACATATTTAAGTAGTTAAATTAATGATATAGCTGTAATTGTGTGCTTAAACTCCCAATACTGCTGTGCAGCAGCAATGACTATACTACAGAAGGTGAATTGACAGTGTAGGACTCCCTTGACATGGCAGTTGACCTTACACTTAAATAGCCATTGGAGTGACACAAAACTCCAATTATTTAAATGAGCAAAGGGACTTTTCTTTGATTCTTTTTGTATGTATTGGGGCTGATTTGTACTATAGTCATTGATGCTGTCTAGGAGTAGTGGGAGTTTGAGCACAGTACTTAATTTTGCATATTTGTATTGGCTTTTGTATTACACACCCATGTTACCGTGCTGCTGTCTACCCCATGTGTTCCCTATTAAGGATTAATAAGTATGTAGGGGTTTAGAATAATACCCCTTTTATCACTCCAAACCAGTTGATAAGAAAACATACTTGTGGAGTAGAGATTGAAGAAGATAAGTAAAAGTCTCCTATGATGTGTATGAGAGAGGTTTTGACAAGGAAATTCAAGGTGCATCATAACCCTCGACCCTCGAAAGGGGAGGATTTTTTAAAAATGGTTTATTTTACCATATGTATATTCATTCTATATATATGTAGTCTGTTAACATCTGCCTAAATTCTTTTTTGTTTATCTTTATACAATTTTACATATGATAATAGAAGGGAGTAGATGATATACATTTGAGGGTATATATATTAAGTCTGTAATTATGAGCACTTTTTGGTTTATATTCTGAAGTTGACATTGTCACTGTTTAGGTGATGAATTATGTACTAAATGTTTATATGTCCCTCTTTTTCCCCTTCTTTCCCCTTTTTTCTGGCTATTTGTAAAATGTTTTACTCCTCCATTTGGATACCTGTGATGGGAGTTTTCCCATAAGAAAGTGTGGGCAGATTATGCATTAAATTTGCCAGTAAAACGGCCTGAGTTGGAAATGACTAACGGATTCATTCCGTCGCGTCACTTCCGGTATTTAATTCAGGGAACTTTCCCACAAGAAAAATGGCCGCGGTGAAAGCGGAAATGACGCGGACTGGGAGACCGCGCCAGTTCCGATCACCCTGAAGGACTACAGGGGAGGTATCCCACCTCACTATATGCAGCTATGTGATTGGACTAAACTTATAATGAACCACCTATCGGAAAGAAGACCGGCAAACTTAAACAGCAGGGTAATGAAGAAAAGAAGAGCCGATTGAAAAAGCCCACAGGACGTGGGTGAAACGCGTTTCGGATTTGAAGTCATTTATTGGGACTTATATTTTATATTTGTTTCTACATTGTTTTATTATTCTTTTTGATTTTAAAACTTAGAAAAATGTATTATTTTTTACTTTATCCCATTGGCTTCCTACTTTGCCTTGCTGCTAAAAGAAGGGCTGGTGCCCCCCTCCAGAGGCACCTAAATCTACCATCCAGAGCCAGGTTCTCATTGGCTCAAAAGAAGGTGAGCACCACTATAACTACTGTGTGTGTAACCACTAAGTCAAAACATAGTACACTAGGGGGCTTCTCCCCTTTTTTTTCTTTCTTTGAGGAAATTTTAATCCAGTCAAAGGGTGCAGTGTCTCCTTACGACACTACGGTGAAAGTGACTTGAGCCTGTCCTGTTTGAGGCTCTATTCCATGTGAGTTTGACCATTGTTATAACATCAAAAATCCCCATTATTTACAGATTTACACTATATTGTGTTGTATTGTGTTTTCTTTACTTCTATGTATCAACATACATCTGAGATTTAACCCTAAACTAGGGTAAGTGAAAATATATAGCGCTTCACTCATTTGACTAGTAAGGTCTGGATTCATACCCAGTTCATACTAGATTCACTTTGGTTCACTTTTATGTTGAGTGGGGGAAGGAGAACACCCACTAGAGTGTATAGCTGCTTGCATATCACGGTACTAAATTTATAAGCGCACTGGACACAGTAACCACTAGCTTTCATAACCCTCGACCAGACCATTGTTTCAAGTCCAAGGAACTCGTAAACATTATTTACTGTGACTAAGTAGGATTCCTTTGACCCCTGAACTTGCTGCAATCAGCCAGCAACAGCAGGCCACCAAGCACACCACTCTGCTAGACACAAAAGATATGCCAACGTGAAGGTGGCAGCAAATATAAAAATTATCACGTGTATGTCAGATTGTGTGTATGTATGTGCCAAGCTGTGTGCATGTGTCAGTGTGTGCATCTCTGTGTTGGCTTGTGTCGATGTTTGTATCAGTGTGTATATAAATTTGTGTGTGTATATGTGTGTCCTTCTGTGTGTCAATGTGTATGTAGTTGGCAGTGTATGAGCAGACATCCAAGCAATGAAACGCAACATCCATACACACTTCTGCAATTTAACACAAATATTTCATACAAACTCACCCCAACATCTAAACCACCTTGCATTAAAACTCCAAAATTATATTCAAACAATCCCGTTCACCAATCCTACACAAAAATGTACATCCACATTTAAAAGCCAACATTACATCCAAACACAACCATGCAATCAGACGCAAACATTCCATACAAAATCACCCCTGTAATAAAACACTAAAATTATATACAAACACACTACACACAAAAGCACAACTGTATTTGAAAGCCAAGACTACATACAAACATAGCCCTGCATTCAAACACTACACACAAGTCCACAACCACATTCCAATGGCAATAGTACATACAAACATAGCCCAACATGCACACATACTCTACAAACATGCTTACATTCATATGCACAAACACAACCCAGCAAGGATGGGCAAATGGTAGATCCCCAGCTTGCATAGTATTGTTGGAGTTGTATAGATGGAGATCTACCTTTTGCCCACTCTTGTACAAGAGGAGTGCCTGAACGAAAACATTCCTGCACCAGTGCCCTCACTACATTGTTCTGTCACTGTGTCAGGATATGTGCATCCACCGCGGGTGAAGGAAAATATCATCTCTAAAATGAGAGATTGTTTCAATATGGAATCTGAGCCTGTGCAACAACGTATCACCTGTCCTCACACATCTGCAGTACTATCAACCTGACTGCCTTCAATTCACAAAAAGCTGTCAGCACCACTCTGATTACTCTGTGATAGAAAGGGCTAGCTCAATAGAGCAGTCAAATATACCTGAATAATGTAAAAATTAAATTTAAAAAAAATTATGTAGGTTATTATATTTATTAAGCTTCTTATATTTAATTATTGTTTGCCATCTGACTGATCTTGCTGCCAGTGGACAGTTACTGTGAATTAATGTAAGTTAGCCTGCAAAAAACAGGTGAGTTTATTTTGCCAATTTGTCTTCTACCAAATATGTTAAAAGTGGATTCCACTGAAATTTGGTACTTGGTAAATATGCTTATCTTATATTTCATATAGCATTCCCACATAAGATGATTGATTTTTAAAGCAGACCACAGAAGATACAGAATGAGATGTTCTCATTTGGTTGCAATAACTAAATGTCAGCCAGATGACACATTATGAAATTTGAGAATTGCAAATTTTGTTGAAATGCGATCATTTTAACCAGATTTTGCTACTATGGATTGTAAACAGACTTTACCTCTAGTTAGTCCCCAATCAGATCTTATGTAAGTTTTAAATCACACTAGCCTTTGCAGAAAGGATGTATATACCGACTACATTTTGGCTAACCCTAACCAAAAAGGCAGTCTAAAATCTGAATGCCAGCATGTTTCCTCTACATGAGAAATAGACTAACCTTAGATCAGCATTTAACAATTAGTGTTTAATGGAACCCTGGATTTCTGTGAGAACAAAACTGTGACTCTGCCACGATCTCACCACATCCACTGCTCCTTGCTGTCATAGACATTGGAAGCAGCAAAGATTGCGAGGTCGCGATCCTATTCCCACCCACTGTCGCCCATTTTAGACTCACTCAACAGGATAGTTGCACGTAGAAAACCCCTCATTCTTCCAGGCTCAGTTATTTTTGTTGCTTCAATCATTGTTGTGTCCAATCTGGCTTCACATAGGAGGAAATTATATTTTTTATTGTGCCGCCCTTCATTCTTTTAGCTATTTTGTTGTTTCAATCAGTATTGTGCTCAACCTGACTTCACATAGGAGTAAAATTATTATTGTGATGTTCTGCCCTTTATATTAGGGCCCAATGTGCCATCTGAGGATATTTTTTTTTTTTTTAGTATTTTTAGAGTCAGATTGTGCTGGTAAAAAGTGTGCTACTGAAAATATTTGTAAATAACAATTTTACCTTAATTTACTTGTTTTTTTGTAAAACTTAATATAAAATTATTATTTAAATAAAAATAAAAGAAAGATAGATTCTTTTCCAAAGTACTACAATCTGTCAACTATCTGTAGAAACCAGTGTATATTTCCCCCCAAAAAACAACAAAGTAAAAAAATGTATCATGGCTTCTGCTCTAAAAGTAGAAAACTCTGTTTACAAAACAACATCCTTTGTAGTCCGATAGTGGAAACTGTATTTTTTGCAATTTTAGAGAAGTGTTCTTTTTACTCCAAGACTGAGCCAAAATCTTGCTTACTTTACGTGCTTACTAAGAGCTGAGAACAGAACAGCATCCTTTGTAGTCACGTAGTGATATCTGTATTTTACCATGTTAGAGAAGTGCTTTTATTACTCCAATACTGAACCAACAACCATGAATTTGGACAGCTGGTTAAACGAAGGGACTCTCAAGAGAAAATTGATGACTACTTCTAATTTTTCGGCATTTATAGAAATTGAGAGAACTGAAAGAAGATGCATCAAGAAAACAGGTCTGAAGTAGTTGAATCTACTGTTCCTCAAATAACAAAGACATGTGGCAAGTTGAAGAAAAAAGAAAAGCAAACAATGCTACCCAATCTTTTTCTCAAACAAAGAAATGAAAATATGATGACAGCTACTTGCCATTTGGATTCACAAGTGCCAGAAATGAACATTGTCCGGAAGCACAATGCTTACTTTGCAAGAAAATTATGGCAAGCAATTTTGCAGGTGCAAAATAATTATGTCATCATTTTGAGCAAAACCATGCAGAGTACAAAGATAAAGAAGACTATTTTAAGTGAAAGCTTTGGGAATATCAGAAGACAACAGTTTATGAATAAAAAATGTCTTCATACAAGACAAACCAGCCAGTTTTTCTGACATAGATTTGGAGGACCTGTTAGATATAACTTCTGACAGTCAAATATTTCAAGACG